TACTTGTAAGAAGGAGTTGAAACGATAATGCAACGAATTCATGTTACTAAACATATATACGACGTACTTTATTTTAATAGTCGAGTGAATTATTTCTGAACCTCTAACTAAAAACGTTTACGATAATCTGGTAAGCACGCCTTGAAAGCGGTTAACAAGACTCTAAGTAAATTAGCCGAATAGAATTGTCGACATTGTCGCAATGGCTCTATGTTAAAACTAACGGCATCAGTTAACTGTAATCTGTCTAATCTTGCAAGCTATACAAGCCAACTTTAAACGCAATTTTCTGAGACATCCTGAAGATCTTGCAAAAAAAATTATCAATCATAATCAAACTTGACATGGAATCTCAGGAAAAACCAGTAGATTAAATAAATATAATTTTATCCAAAGTTAGCTTAATGCTTAACTTATAATGCGACGGATCTATACAATCTATCCTTTAGCGATGGAGGGCCAGAATTATTACCCGACCTCGGTCCGCATATTTAAGACCTTGGGAATAATGGGACCAGGTTGTTAATTTAGCAATCCATTATCCAAGGATACCGGACAGCGCCAAGGAAGAGAAGTACTTTTTTGTATAACAGAATACAGAATAAAAGAATGAGAATGAAGGAAATGTGTGAGGAGACAGGAAATTCAGAAAAACTTTTCTGAGTTCCAGATAGGAATCGAACCCACCACCTTCCTTATCATTGAATGAAAGAAATATAACATTTTCATTAACGATATTACCATGTTGGTTTTGTGCTCCTTCTTGAATTTAAACATTTTAAGCTCAAAAATGTTTGAATTTTTTTCAATTTTCTATGAACTTTAAGAAAATAAGATTTTCAAAACATTTTACTAAATCTATGCAAAATTTATTTTCGTCATCACGTGACCATGCGGCAGATGTCAGTTCCGAGCGTAATTTCACTGAGGCCATGAATTAATTATATGATCCATAATTCCAGAAATCACTTCAACATGGAAGCAAACTTATTTCTTCATCTGATAAGTTACATTCTACTAATCTTTGCATTGGGAAATGTCAAAGTTAAATCTATAAGTAATATCAAGAAGCTAAGTTTTTCATTCGTATTAGGATAGATGAATGAATTGAAAGTCCTTTAATTCAGTTGTCGAAAGTTCTGCTAACTTCTAGCTAGCATTCG